AAGTGCAGCCAGAGTGCTCCTTGGAGGCCAGGATGGCTAAGCTTCATCTCTCATACGTTGGACATATTGTCCGGAGGAAACAGTCGCTGGAGAAGGATGTCATGCTGGGTAAGGTGGAGGGTCAGAGACAAAGAGGAAGACACCTAACGAGATGGATTGGCCAGGTGGCTTCATTGATGGGCTCAAGTGTGGCAGCGGTAGTGAGGTTGGCCCAGGATCAGACATTGTTTCATTCTGCTGTGCATGGGGTCGCTATCAGTCGGTTCCGACTCGATGACACCTGACAACAACAACAAGAATAAACAAATAATTATTGGAAAAAGTGCATCCAGAATGCTCCATAGAAGTGATGCAGTGTATGTTTCTACTAATAGACTGCCATTATGTCCGAAGTATGAGAGACAAAGTTTGGCCATCTTTGCCACCAAGGAGCACTCTGGCTTCACTTCTTCTAACACAGTTCTGTTGGTTCTATGGGAAGCCTATGGAAACTTCAATATTCTCCTCCAACATCATTACTCAAAAGCATCAATTCTTCTATGGTTTCCTTATTTACTGTCCAGCTTTCACATGCATATGAGGTTATTAAAAATGCCATGGCTTGAGTCAGGCACACCTTAGTCCTCAAGCTGTCATCTTTGCTCTTCAACACTTTAAAAAGTTCTTGTGCAGCAGATTTGCTTAATGCAATACATCCTTTGGAATCTTGACTGCTGCTTCCATGAGTGTTGATAGTTGACCCAAGAAGAATGAAGTCCTTGACAATTTCAACCTTTTATCCTTTGATAAGAATATCATTTATTAGTCCAGTGGTGAGGATTTTTATTTTCTTGACATTAAGATGTAATCTGCGGGGGGTCCTGCCCTCCGCAGGGGTCGTGGGACACAAGCGAATACACGGAAACGTCGGGTGAAGAAATGAGTACAACTCGAGAGGCTTTTCAACTTGCTGTTGCTGTCTGGCTATGCTCTCTAGCTTCTGCCCTTGCTTCTGCTTCTTGTTCTCTTTGCTGTCTGCCCTCTGCTGTCTGTTCTCTCTGCTCTCTGCTGTCTGTTCTCTGCCTTCTCCCTCCTGCTGTCTGCTTCTTCCGTTAGTCACAACATTCTTGCACCTGGTCATTAGACAACCTTGACAAAAATACTCTGTGATGTTCAGACTGACCTTCATCTCTTTTCCCAGTATGAGATAAAACTGTTTCTTCATGTTTCTACTAATAGACTATAAACTTTCTATCCTACATAATGTGCTATTATTTTTTATAATAAAGGTATTCTGTTTTTGTGGCCTCACAAATGCAGTTACTTAGGTTTTCTAATGAAAGGGAGTAATTTATACAATTTCTCTTTGTATTCAATCCACCAAGGCTGAAAGCAATTGTTGCTAAGCTAGTTTTTTCTAAGGTTTATAGAACTCATAGTGAAAGCTGAGAATATTGCCAA